CTGTCCGTTTCCTTTTTTTGCTCAGGTCCTCAATTTTTAGATTATTTGTGTAATTATAAATATATAAGTTATTCCAGGGCACAAACGCCATTTGTGCTTAATGAGTCCACCAAGGGGTTGCCGGTTGATTCCTGGTCAGGGCACATGTCTGGGTTGTGGGCTTGATCCCCAGTTCGGGGTGTACAGGAGGCAGCCCATTGATGTTCCGCTCTCACATCAACGTTTCTTTCTCTCTGTCCCTCTCCTTTCCTTTCTCTCTAAAAATCAATAAAATGTGTTTGTTTGTTTTAAAAAAACAGCATATGTAAACTTTTGGCTGTAAGAAGTAATTTGCTGTTGATAAGAAATGCACTAGATTTAATGTTCTTTAGTTATATAATGGTTTCCCTTTTCAAGGGATGTAGTGCTCTCAAGGAAGACCTTAATTATGATAAGAGAGAGAGAGAGAGAGAGAGAGAGAGAGAGTGAGAGAGAGAGAGAGAGAGAGATCGATCCTGGCATTTCCCCTACCATTAAAAAGGAAGCACATGTATCTGAATTTTTAGATGAAATTTCAAATAAGGAAGTAGGATCAGAAAATGTAAATGTCTTTTATATGGGCTCAAAAAGCAGCCTAACAGAAAAGCTTTGCTTTCTACTTGCTAAAAATGATGAACCTGTGCGATTCATGTGCATGAACTGAATGACTATATTAGTGAGTGTTTCTGCTACTTACTTCTCACGCTACTTTTGTGTCTAGTAACTGGTTACAGCAAGGGTATAAAAAATGAGGAACTGAGAAGCAGAGTCATACCCACTTTGTAAAAGCAATTGAACATTGTACATTGCTTCATTTCTCAGGAGATATTTGGCTTGAAGTAGTGCAAAATTGAGACATCATGATAAAGGTTACTTAAGGTTAACTGTCTAAGAGAAGGATGATGTAGCAGGTTGACTGAATCATGGACCATCTGCCTCCTTACTTTTCTCATTTCATGGCTAGCTTTTCTTTTCTACCAGCCTGCTTCTTAGGCAATAAATTTTAAGGAAAAGACAAGTGAACTTACTCCTCCTTTTTCTGCCCAGCTAACTTCTACTTCATACAATCATAACTGTACCCTCATGGAAGAACACTGTAGAGAAAACAATCAAGATGCCCAACATTTGGGCCTATTGCCCTTTCATGCAAGAAATTTCAACATGCCCTCGGTAAAACTAACTCTCTGTGCTTAGTATTTACTGCATCTCCCAGGCTATATTTCTATTTTTTGGTCTATTTGCTCATTGACATCCTTCCTTGTTCACCAAAGGAGTTGGGACACCTTAAAGTCAGAGTATGCCCACTAATTATCATTATGTAATATTAATGAAAAGAGAGGATCTGGACATACAGGCATGCAAATAGACCACCCAGACCAAATCTATTAGTATGTAGATCATATAATCCACCATAACTTCTTTAGTTGGGTTTCTAAGTTTCTAGGTAAAGTAAAAGGGGAGTGTAATCACTCAATTCTCATTTTGGAATTGCATGAATCTTACAGGTTCATCATTTTTAGCAAGTAGAAAGCATAGATTTTCTGTGAGACTTCTTTTTGAGCCCATATAAAAGACATTTGCAGCCCTAACCAGTTTGGCTCAGTGGACAGAGCGTCAGCCTGCAGACTCAAGGGTCCCAGGTTCGATTCTGGTCAAGGGCATGTACCTTGGTTGCGGGCACATCCCCAGTAGGGAGTGTTCAGGAGGCAGCTGATCAATGTTTCTAACTGTCTATCCCTTTCCCTTCCTCTCTGTAAAAAATCAATAAAATATATTTTTTTTAAAAAGACATTTGTATTTTCTGATCCTATTTCCTTATTTGAAATTTCATCTAAAATATCAGATACATGTACTTCCTTTTAAATGGTGGGGAATATTCTAGGATCTCATAAGTCAGGTTCGCTAGTAAGGAGACTTCTAGGCAGAGATTTATATTCAGGAAGATTACTAAGGAGGGCTCTTGGAATTAGTTCCTATGGGTTAGTGAGGGAAGTCTAATGGGTAGAGAGAAGCCAACAAACAAGGGCTCCCCAGTGGGAAACACTGAAGCTGGGGTGGCTGTGCAGGGTTGTCTCACTTGGATAACACAAGTCTTTATATCTCTTACCCAAATCCCCTCAAAATGGGCCATCATTGATTCAGACTGTTTCTGAAAAGTGAAATAATGTTGGGCCAGGTCACTCTCTTCAGCAGAAGAAAATTGGGGATGGGTGAGAAGGGTCTTAGCTGTCAATTCTCCCAGAACTTTGCTATGTGTGCTTCAATCCTGATAATAATGAATTTGGACTATACCCCTTACTGTTCACTTACAAAAGAAAGAAAACAGATTACTCTCTCTGGGAAAGCAAAGTGATGCCAAAACAGGATGAAAAATATATCAGTTTTCATTACTTGGTATATATAGAAAACTGAGTAATATGATGGAAAAAATTCTCATCAACAGCCCTACAAGAAACACAGTTAATAGATTTCATGGGGCTCTTGATAATAGAATAACATTAAAAATGCATCTCCAGGAAAGTGATTCTGTAAGTGGCTAACCACAAATAACCCTGGGACCTAGCCTTCTGGTGATACAGCTTCATTAATGAATTTGTCCCTTTATTCAACAAATATTTACTGAGTGCCAGGCATTATGCTCTGCATAAGAAATGTCATATGGGAAAGACCCCATAGATATTACAGATGTTAATCAAAACGATCACATGAACAAATGTGAAATCACATCTTTGATAATTGCACATAGAGAGACTCACTCTCCAATGTTATCAAAGTTTCTAATAATAGAAATTGACCTGGTCATGGAGGTACAAGATGCTTCGTTGAGTGATTATTTTTCCAAAGGCTAAAGGAAAAGTAGGAGCTAGCCATAAAAGGGCAACACACCTGGTGTTAGAAAGACCCATAGGAAGCCAAGAAGGCAGGTGTGGCTGGAGTACAGACAGATGCTGAGAGTAAACTTGGAAGAAGATAAGAACATAGAATTAGGAAAACACAGCCCTAATAAATTACAGTAAGAAATGTGGTCTGCATCTATAAAAGAATAGGAAAATCATTCAAGCATTTAAAACAAAAGCACCGAGTGAGGGGCTACTGACAGTTCACAGTGGGTCATACTCAATTGAGTCAAACAATGAGGCTGAAAATATAGATCTGAACCTATGATGGACATATATTTGCCTGCACAATACCACCTCTCAGCTTTAAATGGCTTTTCCATTTAATCTTCTTCAATCCACATGGTTTATATATAATTAATCACAGATTTCAACAATCAAAGTATCTTCTCCCCCAAACATATATATACATATAGGATTGAGAACCAGCCAGGTCTGTTAGGGGCCTAAGAAATTGTTACCTCAGACAACAGGGGGGTGAGGGCATGAGTGGGGGCTATGGGGGATAATGTGGGTATAAGGACACATATGTAATAATTTAATAAAATTTTTTAAAAAAGAAATTGTTACCTCCATGAGGGCAGAGACCAAAGTTGTTTTTTCATTGCATTATATAAAAGAATTAGCCCAACCCTAGCCATTTGACTCAGTGGATAGAGTGTCAGCCTACAGACCAAAGGATCCCAAGTTCAATTCTGGTCAAAGGCCCATACCTTGGTTGTAGGCTCTTCCCAAGCCCGGGCCCTGGTCGGGGCTCGTGCAGGAGACAACCAATTGATGTGCTTCTCTCACATCGGTATTTCTCTCTGTCTTTCCCTCTCTCTCCCACTCGCCCTAAAAATCAATGGAAAATTTTCCTCAGACAAGGATTAACCAACCAACCAACCAATCAATAAATAAACTAACTAACTAACTAACTAAAATAAAAGACTCAGCACAGCCCTAGCTGGATGCTCAGTGGATAGAATGGTGGCTGATGGACTGAAGGGTCCCAGGTTCAATTCCAGTGAAGGGCACATCCCTGGTCCTGGCTCTATCCCTGGTCCTGGTAGGGGCATGTACGAGAGGCCACCAATTGATGTGTCTCTCTCAATCGATGTTTCTCTCTCTCTGTCTCTCCCCCTCTCCTCCACCCTCTCTAAAAGTCAATGGAAAAATATCCTCCGGTGAGGGTTAACAACACCAACCAAAAAAAAAAAAAAACACCAAAAAACAAACCAAAAAACACCCAGCAAAGTTTCTGACAAAGTGAATACTCATAAAATATTTTCCAATTGCCTTATTCTGGGCTCTCCACAATCTAGCCCTGGATTAGTCAGTGCTCTTGTGATTTCAAATGACAAAAACTCACCTTAAACCAGTTTATGCTAAAGAATTTTGGGTTTAACAAAACATAACAGTCTAAAGTTATTCTGATTCCATAGAAATAGGTGGATTCAAATGTTCAAATATTATCAGATATCAAGTTTCCCTTCCTCCCTCCCTTCCTTCCTTACTATCCTTCCTTCCTTCTTTCCCTCTACTCTACTTCTTTCTTTTTCTACTTCAACTCTGATTTCCTCTGTATTTCTAGTAGAATTCTCTACATGGGAGATGTCCAGGGGCACCTCCAATATCTTCTATATGATCCTTAAATCTTAAACATCTATGAAAGAATCTTTTCCCCTGAGAGTGCCAACAAAATCCTACAGAGCAGTCTAAATGGTTTATTCCTGTAGGAAGCTTATATGTGTGTGTGTGTGTGTGTGTGTGTGTGTGTGTGTGTGTGTGTGTGTGTGTGTGTGTGTGTGTGTGTGTTTGGGGGGAGTACTTTATTGAAACCTGTGACTATTTCTATACAAACCATGTGAATTGAGGAAGATTAAATGGAAAACTAGGAGGCCAAGCCATTTCAAACTGGGAGGTGGTATTGTGCAGGCAAATGTCCATCATAGGCTCAAATCTATATTTTCAGCCTTACTGTTTGACTCAATGGAGTATGACTCACTCTGAACCAATGGTTCTCAACATTCCTAATGCCACTTCCTAATACAGTTCCTCATGTTGTGGTGACCCCCAATTTCATTGTTACAAATTGAACATAATTAAAGCATAGTGAGTAATCACAAAAACAATATGTAATTATATATGTTTTCCGATGGTCTTAGACCCCTGTGAAAGGGTCTTTCGACCCCCAAAGGGTTCAGGACCCACAGGTTGAGAACCGCTGCAACTAACTGCTGACTTGTGACTATTCTGCATCCTTTCATCTCTATCTATTTTCCCAAAGTATTCTCTTGGCTTAAGATTCCCTAGAATTGTTCCTCATTCAAGTCAATTTATAATCATTCATTTTACTGTTCAATTAAAAATGATCTGTTTGCAGGTTTGTTTTTTAAGTTGTGGTAAAAATACATACCATGAACTTTAGCATTTTTATCATTTCTAGGCATACAGTGTAGTAATGATAAGTATATTCACATTGCTGTGAAATACTAATCTCTAAAAAAATTTTATCTTGAAAAACTGAAACTCTCTAGGATTTTGCTGGTACTATTAGGGGAAGAGACTCTCTCTTCTATTGATATTTAAGATTAAAGACCATGTAGAACTGGAGATGCCCCTGGTCATCTTCTCTCATATAGAGAATTTTACTGAAAATACAGAGGAAATCAGAGGTTGAAGTAGGAAAAAAAGGAAAAGGGAAGGAAGGAAGAAAGGAAGGAAGGGAAGGAGGAAGGGAGGGAGGGAGGGAGGGAGGGAAGGTGAAGAAGGGAGAAAAGAAAACTTGATACCTAATAATATTGTTTGAACATTTGAATCCACCTATATCTATGACATCAGAACAACTTTAGACTGTCATGTTTTGTTAAACCCAAAATTCCCTTCTTTAGCATAAACTGGCTTAAGATGAGTTTTTGTCATGTGAAATCACAAGAGCACTTACTAATCCAGGGCTAGATTGTGGAGATCCCAGAATAAGTAAATTGGAAAATATTTTATGAGTATTCACTTTGTCAGGCACTGTGCTGAATCCTTTATATAATGCAATGAAGAAACAACTTAGGTCCCTAAATTCATAGAGGTAACAATTTCTTTGACTCCTAACAGAGACCTGGCTGGGTCTCATCACTGTGTGTGTGTGTGTGTGTGTGTGTGTGTGTGTGTGTGTGTGTAAAACAAGCACAGCCATATTTGGTAACAAATGATCCACTGATGTAGAAGGGCACATCCATACGTTCCTAATGATAACTTGGGTTGCATATTAAAACGAAGAAGAAGAAGGGAAAAAAAGAGCATAAGCATCCCTCAAAGTTACCTAATTAGAATCCCTAAAGGTGGAACCTGAAAGTATTTTTATTTTTATTTTTTAAATTTATTGGGATGACATTGGTCAACATGAACATATAGGTTTCAGGTGTGGGTTTCTGTGTTACAAGATCTGAATATTGCTCCTTTTGCCCACCACCCACAGTCAAATCTTCTCCTGTCACCATATATTAGTATCCCCTTCTTCCCCACCCCCTTCCATCTGGCAACCACCACACTACTATTTGTGTCCACGAATTTCAGATTTATATCCCACATATGAGTGAAATTATATGGCTCTTAGCTTTTTCTGACTGACTTATTTCACTTAGCATAATGTTCTCAAGGTCCATCCATGTTGTTAAAAATTACACTATTTCATCCTTTCTTAAGGCTGAGAAGTATTTTTAAACTTTAGCTGTCCAAGGTGATTCTTATCACCAAGAAGTTTGGGGAATGCTGATCTTGCTATTTAATGTGGGTTCCTTGGATCACTGTCAATGACATCACCTGGGAACTTGTTAAAAACATAACATCTCAACCCTCCCCAGACCCAGTGAATCAAGATCTTCCTATAATATTTTAATAAGAATAGCTTCTATTACATGGAAATTTTTTATCTGAAAATCAGAGGCAAGGGGAAAAATATCTGAGAGCTTACTCAGATTCACTTTCCAACAAAATCCTTTTATTTCAAAGTCAAGGTGACATCAAGTAAAAATTAGATATTACCTGCACTGTTTTTGTTCATTACCAGTAATGTCCCTCCTTGTGAACTGTATCACACAACTCTAGAAAGGACCATTCATGATGTGTGTATATGAATGGTGCCCTCAGAAACTGTCAAGCAGCAACCCTGGATTCAGTGCAACTTAGAGATTCATTCAGAGTCAAGCTCTAAAAATGGAACCTGGTAACTGCTTTGAAGAGATAAGGAGACCCACTTCCATTTTTGATAACAAGATAATTAAAAGTGATGATGTGTAAACATAGGGACGTCTTTTCTCTTTGAGGAAACTTTCTTCTAACCATTAACAGATATATTGCAAAGTAGCAAATATACAACAATATAATACAAAATATGAAGATAAAATAGTTTCTGCTTTTAACCCAATCACTTGTTTTTACATTTAGTTTATCCTATGGACCTAGAACTTGCTTTCCCAGGCTCTCATAGTGACAATCCTATATAATAAAAGGCTAATATGCAAACTGTCCCCTCAACCCGGGGTTCAACCGGGAGTTTGACCAGGGGGCAGGGCCAGCCAGCCAATTGCCCACAACCCCTCCCTCCCCCGGCCAGCCAGCCCGATCAGCCCCGATCCGGGCAGGCTGGCCAGACCCCACCCATGCAGAATTCATGCACCAGGCCTCTAGTTTGCCATATTTATACATTTTCAGATGAAGGAAGTACCATCATATGGCAACTCTTAGGAACCCTTCAGCCTTATTTTGCAGGACTTTGAACAGCATAGGGCATTGATGGTGAACCTATGACACGCGTGTCAGAGGTGACACACGACTCATTTTTTTGGTTAATTTGTCTTTGTTAAGTGGCATTTAAATATATAAAATAAATATCAAATATATAAATCTTTGTTTTACTATGGTTGCAAATATCAAAAACTTTCTATATGTGACATGGCACCAGAGTTAAGTTAGGGTTTTTCTGACACGCCAAGCTCAAAAGGTTCGCCATCACTAGCATAGGGGCAGCAGGTACACATTTTACCTCTCAAGGTACCTATAAAGTCTCAGCTGCTATAAAGTCTTTCTTAACTAAGAACCTGGATACTGGAGCCCATCTACCAGGTTTACATCTGACTCTCCCACTAACTAGCTATACAAACTCAAGCTAGTTACTTATCCTCTCTGTGTCTCTCGTTCATCTATGTAATGGGTGATAGTAATGGAATTTTTGTCAAGACTATAGAGAGTCCTAGATTTTACCTTATTGAAGCTCACAAATAAACTTGCCGAGTTTCATGTATACTGACAGAGGACACAAGATTCCTCAGAGACAAGATTTTATTACGCACAGCAACAGCAACAGTCACAGCAACAGCATCGCTGTGTCAATTCCCTGGACCAAGTTTCTCGTGGCACTGAAGGTTTGTCTAGACAAATGCCTACACACAGTGCATTGTATTATAGAAGAGGAATACTGGGCTGGGGAAATTGCTGCTTTGTGGCAGTCTCTTAGAAATCCTATTCTTTGTTCCAGAGCAAGATATTACCAAACCTCCCAAGGTTGTCACTATATCAGCACCTTGCATTCTTGGCATTCCCAGCAAGATGAGTAGCAATGCAAGAGACACATGGAGGACAGTCTCCAACAGGTTGTTGGAAGGGTTGAATGAGTTAACATATGCAAGGGGACAGGAAGAGTAATAACTCTGTATAAATATTAGTTATTAGTAGTAGTCAAAGCAGCAGCAATAGTAGTAGCAGTAGTATGCGGATGTTAGCTGCCTATTAATTTAAAGTAGCCCCTCAATAATACATGTGTATATATACACAATATACACATATATCAAATATTTGGTACATATATATTAAATATTTGGTACATATATTATAGATATGCTATATATATAATAATTATTAGAAAACTGTGAAATTAAAACTATTAAAATCATCAACTATCATCCACTCTTTTGTTTTATTTTATTTTTTTTTGGTTTTCTATGCATATGTATATTTTTATATTTTTAAATTCATATCCAAATCCATATACCATTTTTATCTTTTCCACTTTTTATTTTATCAGGAACATTTTCCTTTTAGTAAATAATAGTCTAAAACTAATTAATTTTAATATATGCCATATATACAGATATATATGTATCATAAATTATTTATTCATTCCCTTATTAGACATTTTGGCTATTTCACTTTTTCTGCTAGATGCTGAACTTCGACCACAAATGATTACATACTTATAAATGGAATTCCAATAGAAAAACAACACAAAACATACAATTACATAAATCTAATTCCTGGCCTTTCAGCTCTCATTCCTTAATTGGCAATGAGTTTGTCCTTTTTCCTTGAACCACATGAAGCAACATCTAATTTATCTCATCTTAACTACACACTTTTTGCATTAACAGAGATTTACTGTGACAGTGAGGACTGGCTAGGGCAGAGAACTAATCTACTGTTATCATAAAAGCTTACATTATTTAGGAAGACCTAGTTTTTTAAAAAATTATATTATTCCTTATGGAAATCTGCCTCCTATCTTTCACCCATTTACCAACTGAGAAAGTTTTGATACTTGTATATATATCCAAAATTTTATGTATAAACTGGTATATTTTACCCATACAAGAACCCTCAAAATCAATTTACTTTTACTCTACATCTACTTACAAACAACTTCTCAGAAATTAAGATTTATTGAATCACTCAATGTACCAGGCACATTTGTTTAGACATATTACATTGTCTCAATTTAGTCTCTGCAAATTCGGAAACATTTATAAATATTAAAGAGAAATCTAAGGAGAAAAAAAATCTATGAAAAATACACTTCAGTTCTAAAACCATTACCATCTTGGCCCATTTAATGCAGCGGCCACTCTACAGGAGCACCTATAGAAAAACTTAGATTCATAATTATTCCCTCAAATTATAAAAAAAAATTCACTGATGTTTATAATATGAAAAAGATATATTTATTAAAAATACATTTAACAAATATTTTCTTTAATATTTTCTTCAAATTTTTAAAAATTTATCTGTAACCAATTATTTTTGACATATGTGGAACTTTTAGTCATTACTTTATTGAATGAGCCACATATAGTCATTCTTTCCTTCCATTTTGCTTTAATTTCATCTGATGATTTTTCCTTTTCTGTAATTTTTACCATAATGGAAGGCATAACATAAGAATAATCAAATAAAATGTAAAGAATAACAAGGAAAAATGAAAACATAGATCACAATGATATTATAACCAAAGGATACAAAAATGGAAAAAAAATGTGTGCTATGAAATGTGGACATATATTTCCTTTGTTTATAAGCCAAGTAGAATTGAGCTTAGCCTTCCAGAATTTTTGGAAAGTTAAACAAAATAATGGAATTTTGTTTATCTGGTTGGTGTCTTGCTTTGTGGTGTTTCCTCTTTAGTCTTATCTCAATTTGTTTTGGTGCTTTGGTTCTGCAACAGTTCTGTTGACATAAGTTCCCTGCTGATGTAAAAAGCCAGTTAACTTTACTGCCATTCAAATTTGTTACAAAAAGAGAAGCTTAACCTTATTTAGGTTCTATTAAACTTCTGTTTATCTATTCTTCCTACAAGAGGCAATTAAAATCAAACAATTTTATAATGGGGGTCAAAGCAGAATGGCAGCTGTGAAGGGTGAGACATTGAACAAACTGCGATGCAGAAGGTGAAGGGGCTTAAGTGAGGCCAGCAGAGTCAATACTCCTCCCAAAGAAGAGTAACTTTTCTTTCCTAAGGTCTTAAAACCATAGCAAGATGAGAAAGAGGACAGACAGTGAGTATGATGAGTAGAGAATTAAGTCTCTACCTCACAGTTAAGAGAGGAAAGACAGGAAAAAGATGTTTTGGGGGATTAATCAATCAATTCTCCTGGTGAGCAGGCCCCAGAGCTCACCCTCCCTATGGTAGATTCTGAAAGACTATGGAGAGGAGCCAAGGAACAGCAGCAATGACAGGCTCAGAATGGCCTCCAAAAACCACTTAACATATGATTTTTCCAATTAAAAGAAAATATTCATCATAAATACCAGTTTTCAAAAAGAAGGTATAAATACCAAGACATATATTCTTATCTGTTCTAATATAAAGAACCCTAGACTGTGCCATTCCATAAGAGGGGGAAGTCACTCAACAGTAACATCGAAGTAGCCTAATTGATTGTTTCAGCATACCATTTTAATATTTAGCCAGAAAAAAACAAGTACCCTGAGAACTTCTGGTTTGGTTCCAATGCATGACATTGAATTTGTTATTTTAATAAAATCACTCAATCATATCATTGCCAATATCACTAAAATTATTCAGAAATTATAGAATCCTTAAGCGGAAAACAGGATGACTGAGCCCCAATGTGTCAGGAGGCACTTTTAAAGGCTATCTCATTTGATTCTCACAACAAATCAGAAAAATTTTTATCCCTTGTCCAAGTTTATAGAGCTTGCAGGGGGAGAAGCTAGCATCTGATTTTACATAGACTTGGTTTCATAGTACATACTGTGTCCATTACACCATACCACCTTCTCTCATTTCCTTGTAAAGGAAGGTGAAGAAATGACCCTTCAATAGGTAAAGATATAAGCCATAGATTACTTTCCCAATTGAGCCAAAAATGCATTATCATGATACAGAGATATTAGGAAGTACTTTAAAGGAAGTGAGAAAAGGCCCTGTCCACAGAAAACTTTCTTGATATTCTAAGTATTTCCAAAATACTGGGGATTCCTGTACCAGTCAGCAGGGACTAGACACCAAAGAACTGATTGTACGTATGACAGGGGATTCCTCAGCCATCACCTTTATTTTCCCCATTTCAGGATAAAGAATTATTACACCACAGAGGAAACACCTAATACCTCTCAATTATCCACCACCCAAACACCATCTTTAAAAAATGTATATGCAGAATATTTAAGACATATGAAATGCATGTAAAATAATGCAACATAGAACCAGGTACTCATTTCCCAACTTAAGAAATAACATATTGATCACATACTATTTTAGGACATAAATATGATTAGGGAAAATAAAATTTCAAAAGGAGAAAAGTTTCCTTATAAGTTTTATTACATATATTTTTAACTCATTAAAAAGCCAAGACACATTTTTGTCCCAAATCACATTTAGAAATTTATATGAAATGCTTAACATGTCTAAAAACTAAGTATGCATAATGGAAAATGCACAGCAAAAGAAGTAAGAGGGAAGCTTCTGTGTAGAAACTCTGTGGTGTCAGAGGTATGACTTTGAAACTCAGGGCTGTGCACAGTCAAAGCAGACAGCAGGCACGACGACATGTTAAATTACCCACATGATGTATAGCTTAATGAACCCCATTGTGTTGATCACACTTGGCATTAATCAAGAGCCATGAACAGATTCCCTTATTTTCTCAATGCTGCTCTGATAAACTGCAATTTCATTTCACCTTGGACAGCAACTTTAATAACTTCCATGGGACAACTGTCGATACCTTCCTGAGTATACAGTGATTAAACTGCAACCTAAGATGCATGTCATGAATTTTCTTCATTTGAAATTAGAATTTTTATTTTTAACAACTATGTGCATAAAATATGCTGAAGACACCAAGATGTGTAAAAATTTACCTTTATCCAAAGTCAAGACTTGCCATGCTATGTTATAAAATATTAATTAATATCCTATTCATGAAAGCAAAAGAAATAGCACATTACCAAAACTTTGGAAGCCTTTGAGAACTAATACCTAATCACATGCCCCTCACACCCTGAGAGCATAACTGTTATTCTGAATTTGATTTTATA